AAAAATATATATATATTTTATTTAATTCCATTCCAAACAAAAACCACATTAAAAATCTACTTTTAAACTGTTATGACAGTTTAAGTCACAATAACAATCTCTTAAATGTCTCAATTGTTTCTCCGTGACATCAATGACATTAGTTTGAGAAACTTCTATACTTCTGAGCTATTTTTCCTAGAAAAAGACTACAGAAATCTCAACTCAAAGAAAAAATAATCCAAATTGCAAACTAAATCCAACCCTGTGGATATTTTATATAATTTTGAAATGAGTGCGCGAACCCGCAACCTCATGCCCAAATGTAGCCTATATCACTAACTGGCAGTATGCCTTCACTGGCCTTTGAATGGGTCATTTATATTATCATAACATATCAAAAGTGATAAGGTGTAGCTAAGAGCGGTCCAGACCAACCTTACGAAAGTATGACTTACAGAAGGTATACTTAACTAAGAATTTTTGGAGAAACACATATTAACGATAAGGTACAGGTTAAGGTACAACTTAAGAACGACGTAGCGTTAAGAAGGTTTCGGGAAACACAGCCCTGATCATTTAGAAAAGCATAATTTGAGGTATCATTCCTGTCGAGCACGCTGAAGTGGTTTGTTCAAATCACTTTTGCAATGTTTTATAGACTTATACTAAATCCAACCCTGTGGATATTTTATATAATTTTGAAATGAGTGCGCGAACCCGCAACCTCATGCCCAATTGTAGACTATATCACTAACTGGCAGTATGCCTTCACTGGCCTTTGAATGGGTCATTTATATTATCATAATATAGCCTATTTTCCATAGTGTCTTCAATTACTCCACAACCAGGGTTGATTGCCCAGCAGCCGCATCACATATGTGACCCTGGAGCACAAAACCAGTCATAAGTAGCACAGGTATATTTGTAGTGATAGCCAAAAATACATTGAATGGGTCAAAATGATACATTTTTCTTTTATGCCAAAAATCATTAGGATATTAAGTAAAGATCATGTTCTATGAAGATATTTTGTAAATTTCCTACTGTAAATATATCAAAACTTAATTTTTGATTAGTAATATGCATTGCTAAGAACTTCATTTGGACAACTTTAAAGGTGATTTTCTCAAGATTTTGATTTTTTTGCACCTTCATATTCCAGATTTTTGTATCTTGGCCAAATATTGTCCTATCCTAACAAACCATACATCAATGCAAAGCTTATTTATTCAGCTTTCAGATGATGTATAAATCTCAATTTCGAAAAAGTTACCCTTATGACTGATTTTGTGGTCCAGGGTCACATATTGTTGTAAATCACTAATTTCTGTTATTGGATGACCTACTCAATAAAAACGCAACAAGAGAAACATATAATCAACAGCTACTATTAGAGAAAAAGAGAGAAAAAGGAGAGCCGCCAGCAGCTTAATTTGTCTCGACAAAATCGGACCAACAAGATCTAAAAGCTGCTGAATTTTAAAGTTTTAGTGCACATATACATTACATGGCTCCACAGACGGCGACGTCTATGATTTTGCACAACTATTATATTTGTATAGAATGAGATGTAAAGAACTGTCAAAAGTGATAAGGTGTAGCTAAGAGCGGTCCAGACCAACCTTACGAAAGTATGACTTACAGAAGGTATACTTAACTAAGAATTTTTGGAGAAACACATATTAACGATAAGGTACAGGTTAAGGTACAACTTAAGAACGACGTAGCGTTAAGAAGGTTTTGGGAAACGCAGCCCTGGGCTTTGGACTGTGCTTCCCCCCATGAGAGACCCATTTCTTCCAGCTCTGTCTCCACTGTCCGTCGTCATGTTGTTCTTGGCCTGCCACATTTGCGTTTGCAAGGTGGTGTCCAACGCAAAGCCACTTTAGGTATCCTTTCACAGGACATCCTATGTACATGATTGAGCCATCTTAATCGTCCTATCTTGATCTCCTGAGATATGTTATTTGATCTTGTCTTTTTGGACAGATTGGTATTGGAGATGGTATTGGGTATGGTATATGTAACAGATCTTTCTAAGGCAACTATTATGGAAGGCATCTATCTTGCTCATGTCTACTTTCACTACTCTCCAACATTCAGAGGCATACAAAAGCACTGATTTAACATTGCTGTTGTAAAGCTTGGTCTTTGTTTTGAGGCTTAGCTGTTTGGACTTCCAGATGGTTCTGAGTCTGCTAAAAGAGCAAACAAATGTGTAAAGATTCTTAAATCAACAAACATTTAAACAAAATTACATTATTTAAGTCGGGTTTTTTTCTGAGAAATGTATCAAAATAACGTTTACGACAAGACAAAGAGCAAGAGCAAGAGAAAATTTTACTTAATTCAAAGGGAAAACAAGTTTTCATACCCCATTGATAAGTATTTTGGTAACACTTTATTTCGATAGTCCACTTTAGACATTCTATTAACAGTAAGTAACTTTGCAACTACACGTCAACTAGCAGTTAGTAGAGTATTAGTAGACTGTCTGCTTAATATCTTCTAACACTTTCTTTGTCAACTTATTCTACTAACCCTAAACCTACCCTAACAGTCTACTCTGAGAGTTAGTAGACATGTAGTTGCAAATTAATGAGAATTAGTTGACATGTAGTTGCAAAATTACTAATAGTTAATAGAATGTCTAAAGTGGACTATCGAAATAAAGTGTAACCAGTATTTTTTCTTGTTTTTAAGTGTAAACTTACCAATTTTGTTACATTTTTTCAAGAATTTACATTTGCATCTCAAGTACATACCTTCATTTAAGGATATTTGGTTACACTTTATTTTAAGGTGTTTAATGTGTTATACATTTAAGTACTGAGTAATATTAATTAGCTACATATACTTACTATATGGTTAGGGTTAGGATTATGGTTTGGCTTAGGGTTACTTGCATGTAATTATGCATGTTTTATTGTTATTATAATAGTACGTACATGTAACATGTGTAACAAGGACACCTTAAAATAAAGTGTTACTGCATATTTAGATATTTATATTGGAAAACAAAAAATACTGAGGAAGGAATTCTTTTTTTTGTTTTGTTTTGTGTGTGTGTGTGTGTGTGTGTGTTTTCTTGCAGTGCATGAAACTTTTAATGCCATGACTTTATGCACCAATTAAAGACCTTTGTAAGACCCTAAATTGTGAAGGGGAAAATTAAGGCTTTTTAAGACCTCAGAAACCCTACAGTAATTAGTAATACTGAATGTTTGAGCTCTCAAAAAATCAAGATATTGACATTTTTTATCTTGTGTTTTATGTGAATAAATAACAGTATATTTCTAGTTTCAACAGTATTTCTTCTGTAATTGCTCTTCTTTAAACTCAGTACGTTTTAGATGTATGCAAAGGGACCACATTTGGTTTTCAGCCATTGAAAATGGGTAAAATTCAACTATTTGGACACAGATCCACATTGAGAAACCAATATCTCTGGGACTGAACCATAGTGCTTTAAAAATGGAGCTACCAAATGAAATGTTTGTCAAGAACCAGAATCTAAAAGGATATTAAGATTTCTTCAATATTTCTTGAGTTACAGTCATGCAAAGTTTGGAAAAACAAACACAAAAAGTGCTTTTTTCTCATTTTTGGAATGTCATCATTGACATATAATGCAACAAGGATTGCTGACGTCAACAGATTTTACTAATATATCTACCAATCTCTGGGTAAAAGTAAAATAATATAATGCCATCTTTCTGAAAGTCATTTTCTCCCTCCTGTAATTAGGTCCAAAATTTGTGGATTAATCAGTAAATATTCATTCATAGCATTAATATTTCTGCTTTCTTATTCATTTATGTAATTCTTTGCTAAAAAAATGCTAAAAATCAAGATTTTACCTTTGAGTTGACCCAACTTTGATCAGAAGATCAAAAAAGACAAAGGAATGAGACTTTGTATTTAACTGCTTAAGTAATGGAAAGAACTACAATAATGTAAAGAATTCCATGAAGCATTGCTACTGACATAAATAAAAACAATGACTAAATATAAAACTAATGATTAAAAGATATGTTAATTATGTATATAGAAATAAAGTATTTTATTTATTCCAATACATACATATGCATTGGACATGTTTGTGGGATTGGATAGACACTAAAGAGTTATTTTGCTGCAATTTGTTTCTGTTCACTGATTGTTGAAGATTGGCATATAATCATGGGTAATGTAGTTTTTCACCAGGAATTCCATTGCTAACCACAATTATATAAAAAAAAAAAAAAAGTTGAAATAATGCATACCGATGGCTTTAATGAAAGCATATACCATCGATTAACAACCTTGTAGCTCACAGCAGGTCTGCCTTTAATGGTTTATGAGTTATTATTAAAAATCAATTCCTTTATGGAGAAAATGAATGGGATTTTTACTTCCAGAACCCGACTGTTGCACTATATTGATTAACACTATCCAACAGCCACATGACCTAGGTGATGTTAACCTAAACGTTTTTTGAAGAAAGATTACACCAACTAACTCGCGTTTTGTTATTTGGAGTAACATGCACCAATGAATTGTTCACAATAAGTCCAGGATCGTGCATTAAGAAAGCAAATGGGTTCAATTTTGATTTCACATTGACTTTAACATCCGTAAACTCCACGAGACAAGCACGTGCGCAGGGCGAGAGCCGCCACAGTGATTTATCTGATTCAATTAGCCTGCAAATGTAAAACAAGTCAGTTCAATAAAGAGCTAAAACCTCTCTTTCTTTCTTTCGTTCGTTCGTCTCTTGCCCTTCCTCCCTCGACCTCCCTCTCTCTGCTGAATAATGAGAGTGTGTAAATGCTTAATTAGATTAAAAGGGTGTGTATAACGATATCAAGATGCTGTGTGTGTGTATATTGAGATCTCTCTACATTAGCACTGTGTTTTTGTGGGCAGGGCTGAGAATTTATGACGCACAAAAACCCTGAAACATCAAACCCATTAAAGAATCCTGATTTATTCTCCGTGAGCACTGGGGAAATATATCACCCATAAAGAGGTGTGTGTGTGTGTGTGTGTGTGTGACAGGAACTCCTGGGAAGCATGTGTTTAATAGGAGAGGCTTAGCCGAGGTCTTTTTGGAAGTGTGTGACCTGAAAAAAAATTAGAATACAAGAATTTTAGAATTTTAAAACCTGCTTCTAAAAAAAGTTTTCATATAATTTTCATATTTTCTATATTTTTATATTCTTCTTTGTTTTGCATTACTGACATTTTTTTAAATTTTATTTTATTAATATTACATTATTGTATTTTTAAATCTGAAAGACAGAACTAGATCCACAGAGATTATTTATATAATACAGTCTTCATTTTAATAATAAAGAGATTTCTAAACTTCTTACATTTTTTATTTTTGTTCCGTTCATCGATTGGTACTTTCTTAGTTCACTCTACACTGTTATTTCACGTTAATTATTATTATTTTATTTTGCATTATTTTACTTTACTAACTTCATTACTTATTGTTGTACACATCAGTAGTAAATAAAAAAAATCACAAGTGAGATCTATTTAGTTTTATATACAGCAATGAGATCAGATCGAGAGCAAAGAGAGCATTTTGCCCAAATAACCTCATGTCTATTTTTCAACAATTGAATTCATTAAATTCTCCCAAACAGTGTTATTTAGTATCACTAAGATACTATTATCGTTTTTATTAATATTTTGAATCAGTTTTTATTTTTATATTTTCCATGTCCATTGTGTTTTTGTCATTTTTAGTAGTGTGTGTGTATGTATATATATACACACACACACACACACACACACACATATATATATATAGACACATACAAATGCTTTTGACATAAAAAAGTAAATTTACATAGAAATAAAACTAAATCAAAACAGTGAATCTGAGAGCCAGATAGATTGCTATCCATCATGCAGCGAGCAGACTCACATGCCATTAATGAAACATCTAATTAGCATATGTATATACACACACACACACACATAAATATACATGTTACATAAATATATGCAATACATACCTCATATGCTCCGGGTCCAGGGGTCTTGTCTTTAGGGCTTTTAAAGCGACCTTCTTTTGAGACAATCAGTGCAAGTTTTGAGCCTGATTTAACATCTGGACTATAATGAGCCGGACCTGAAATCCACAAATAAACAACAGCGAGTTTAGTTTGAATACTAATACATAACTCATGTCTAAAAACGCTGTTTACATGGAGAAAACTCCACGTTTTGTCGGTAAGGCACGAGCAGAAGATCCCAGGCATACAACAGCAGTCCCAATCAGACAACTTTTAAAGAAAACAAATATACAACCTTCACATTTCTGCTTTTAATCACTGAATGTTTAGCCCCATAGACTTCCAGTGTAATATTTCTGCTTTGTTTGTTTCAGCAAATCAACAGCAGGCCACATACGCCATGAAGATGAAGTTAGCGTAGGTTCCTTTAATAACTGTCAGAGCTGGGGTCACCTGGGGTTTCAGGGTCGTAGTGGAGGAAGGCGGCGTCTCTGGGGGCGGCAGACAGGAAGCAGCTCTGTCGTTTGCGTGCTTTCTCGTTCCGCGGCTCGCTGTAGTGATGGAGGCCGTGTATCCTCTCAAACGATTCGCTCACGTTATATGAGCTTGGCGGAGGTGTATCCTGCCAAGAGAAATCTAATATCTAACCACAGCATCATAAACATCATCTGCACAATGTATTTACAGCAAGTACATATGAGCCAGGAGGCTGTGTGTGTGTGTGCTGTAAGTGCATTGCTGCGAACACAATTTTTGCTTGTTCCTACAAAACTAATGACGAGTCAAATTGCTACAGATGCTGTACATAGAAATTAAACTGTACACACACACACACACATATATATATATAGACACATACAAATGCTTTTGACATAAAAAAGTAAATTTACATAGAAATAAAACTAAATCAAAACAGTGAATCTGAGAGCCAGATCTCCTGCTATCCATCATGCAGCGAGCAGACTCACATGCCATTAATGAAACATCTAATTAGCATATGTAAATCAAAAAAATATGATGCATGTTTTATTTGACCATCTTTGGTTTTAGGAGATCAATCGGCCATTCAGAGGGAATATAATATCAGAGCTCATGCTGCTCCTGTGGTGAATCTGTGTGTAACAGTGATGTTAGTCTCAATAAAACAGACAGGAGAGCAGGAGAGAGTCATCTTTTCTAACAGACCACTAAAAACCTCAAGAACGCCTCAATCACTGAAACTAAACTTAATCTTAATCAGTCTCACTGACCTTTGACCTGAGTTAGGCACTGCTGTGAGCAGAGGGTTTTCTCAAAGACCTGCGTGAAGATAAAGATCTCATGCTGGACACCAAAGGATCATGAAGTGTCACGTTGAAGGTGCCTTTCAGAACCGTGTCCATGATGCCCGGACTCAACTACAACACACACAGCCAGAGTGTGACACATAATGTAGAGGAAATGTATTTAATACATTTAATACATCTTGTTTAATACATATATTTTATTTTATTTTATCACAGTAAAATGTTCCAGCCAGTGTAATATATTTCTAAATAAATAAATAAATATGATTATTGTTATTACTAATATTATATATGAGACAATCAGTGCAAGTTTTGAGCCTGATTTAACATCTGGACTATAATGAGCCGGACCTGAAATCCACAAATAAACAACAGCGAGTTTAGTTTGAATACTAATACATAACTCATGTCTAAAAACGCGGTTTACATGGAGAAAACTCCACGTTTTGTCGGTAAGGCACGAGCAGAAGATCCCAGGCATACAACAGCAGTCCCAATCAGACAACTTTTAAAGAAAACAAATATACAACCTTCACATTTCTGCTTTTAATCACTGAATTTTTAGCCCCATAGACTTCCAGTGTAATATTTCTGCTTTGTTTGTTTCAGCAAATCAACAGCAGGCCACATATGCCATGAAGATGAAGTTAGCGTAGGTTCCTTTAATAACTGTCAGAGCTGGGGTCACCTGGGGTTTCAGGGTCGTAGTGGAGGAAGGCGGCGTCTCTGGGGGCGGCAGACAGGAAGCAGCTCTGTCGTTTGCGTGCTTTCTCGTTCCGCGGCTCGCTGTAGTGATGGAGGCCATGTATCCTCTCAAACGATTCGCTCACGTTATATGAGCTTGGCGGAGGTGTATCCTGCCAAGAGAAATCTAATATCTAACCACAGCATCATAAACATCATCTGCACAATGTATTTACAGCAAGTACATATGAGCCAGGAGGCTGTGTGTGTGTGTGTGTGTGTGTGTGCTGTAAGTGCATTGCTGCGAACACAATTTTTGCTTGTTCCTACAAAACTAATGACGAGTCAAATTGCTACAGATGCTGTACATAGAAATTAAACTGTACAGAACTAGAAATATTCCAGTTATTTAGACGTGTATGTAACTATAGCATATTTGTATAATTGCATTCGGATCATTTTGGCACGTCTGTAATCATGTCAGCAAACGAAAATCAACTAACCTCAAAATTCAAAATATAGATGTCAGTCAAGAGTGACAAGTCTAATGAATAAATATGCAAAGACCGTTTTGTGAATTAAGCCACAGACAAAACACACACACACTCACAGAGTTGCATGTCTTGTTTATAGAGCTGTGTAAATAGAAGCTGGGCAGACAGACAGAGAGAGAGAAACATCTAGATGGGTGAAGCTAACCAAACCTGTCAGGAACAAGACTATTTTTAAGACCATTAAAATTTTTGTATTATGAAATCATTGTCATGACAATTAAACAAAATTCCAAATTCCCCTTTGTGTGATGCAAAAACACAATGTAAATTCTACAATATTTATATTTTATGGTGAATTGAAATGTAATGTATTATTTAAAATAATAATAATAATAATTATTATTATTATTACATGGATAGCCCCTTTCATACATAAAATGCAGTTCAAAGTGCTTCACATGTCAGAACATAAAAACAAAAGAAGAAAACAAAAACATAATTAAAAGACATCAAAGTAAAAGTGTAAAATTAGGATAACAACAACAACAACAATATTAATAATTATTATTATTATATTTGTTTTTATTTGTTCATCACAATAACAATAATGTTAACAATAATGTTTTAACTAACTTTTTTTTTTTTAAATCATTAAGAATAAGAATTACAAACAAAAAAAAACTAAAAAGTAAAACTTTCCAAGGCATTATTGTAATTTATTATAAATGTGCTAAACTGTCATGAAAATAATGTTGATGCAAAACATCATAATCCTAACATTAAGCTTCATGCAACATAAAATGTCCTATTTCTTTCTTTTGATTTTGTGGTGAAATGTGATCTGGGTGAGATTTGGTGGGACTGACGCAGACGGCGGTGTGTATGTGGTGTTATTTGTGAGGGAGCAGACATGTGTCTAATAAGAGCAAGGTGAGGCGCTGGGCTCATAATGAAATATTTGCAGCATCTGCATCAGAGCGTCTGAGTCAAACAATCTCTAGGTTACACACTTTCACATACGGACACTTCTGCGTTCTCATATCTTGCGCTGTATAATTACTGATGTTAGATATGGACAAGATTTAATCGGAACTCTCCATGAAGCCAAACTATCAGGGCTTTCCCATTGAATTCAAGTTTATGCAAACACACACACACACACACACACACACACACACAGACACAGTAAAAATCTGAACTTTTAGGACAGGCACAGACAGGTGTTTGAATTATTACTGAGAAAACTTGTATTGCTCAGAGTTTACTCTTTTATAGCTCAGAACATGTAGTTTCAGTGAAGTTTTATTTAAAGTATCAACTTCTTCCTTAGACATAAATGAGTCAATAATCGACATACAGTCAGAATATAAAGCTAAAAATAAATGTGGAGCAGTTTAGATCATTTGTCTAAGAGGAATTTGATGAGAAATGTTTGAGTTCATGTTAACATCTCTTGTTTTGTTTTTTTTGCAGATTTTAGTATCTTGCCAACTCTCAATATCAAAAGTATAGAAACTATTGAGCTATTAAAGAGATCTCATCTGTGATTTTTCTTCCCTATGAGAGTCTAAATGTGAATTTGGAGTGTTGTGTGTGTCTTACTTTGGCGAACAGTGAACCCACAAGTCTGTCAGTAGCAGATTTAAAAGCGGCTGTGCTCTGTTTCTTACATAACGCTTCAGTTGTTTTCTCCACCTGCGGCAAACACGAAAGGAAGAAAATATACAAGATTACTACAAGTTTTTACTACAAGCTTCTTTAGAATACTTGGTTCTGATTGGTCAATCACAGTATTCCGCAGTCAAATATTTATGTACAATGACTGATTCATATTAATGAGCTTTACTGAGATTCAAATAACACTTACATTTGGGTCTGTTCTTCTCATAATTGGAGTATAGCACACAAGTCATACGTTTACATTTACTTTTTATAATACTTGCATGACAGCTGCTGATCACTGTCTACTTCCCGTGTATGAAAAAAAGCATAGTGGAAATTCTCCAAAACATCTCTTCCACAGAAGAAAATGAATTAAATGCGTTTGGAACAACATAAAGGCGAATACATGATGACAGATCTTCTACTTTTGGGTCAAATATTTCTTTTTATGATGGGCTGGTGTAGTTTTAGCAGTCTGTGTGGTCTCTGTCGACAGAAAAAGCTCCTCTCTGGTTCAGCTTCTAATGGAAAATCATAATCTCCACTATCGTGACGCTAGAGATAAGATGCAGCAGGTCCTCATCTCAGACTCAGGTTGAGTTGAGAATGAAATACTAGCTTTCTGCAAAATATATATACACTATTTTTTTTTTATTTCAGTGTTGGTTAAGTTACTCTAAAAAAGTAATTAAAGGGATAGTTCACCCAAAAATGAAAATTCTGTCATTAATGACTCACCCTCATGTCGTTCCAAACCTGTAAGACCTTCGTTCATCTTCGGAACACAAATTAAGATATTTTTGATGAAATCCGAGAGCTCTCTGACCCTCCATAGACAGCAACACAACTCACAGGTTCAAGGCCAAAGGTAGTAAAGACATCATTAAAATAGTCCATGTGACAACAGTGGATCAACTGTAATGTTATGAAGCTACGAGAAAACTTTTTGTGCACAAAGAAAACAAAAATAACAACTTCAATCAACAATTTCTTCTCTTCTGTGTCAGGCTTTGACACACGTTCACTAGTCGGCGTTCGGACTTAGAACGTCCATCTCTCTTAGTTCATCATCTGTATATTCTGGTTCAAATAAGTATGGCTGGGCAAGAAAGCTGACACAGAAGAGAAGAATTTGTTTTCTTTGCGCACAAAATATTCTCGTAGCTTCATAAAATTACGGTTAAACCACTGACGTCACATGGACTATTTTAACAGTGCTCTTACTACCTTTCTGGGCCTTGAACGTGGAGGTTCCCTTGCTGTATGGAGGGTCAGAAAGCTCTCGGATTTCATAAAAAATATCGTAATTTGTGTTCCGAAGATGAACGAAGGTCTTATGGGTTTGGAACGAAATGAGGGTCAGAAATTAATGACAGAATTTTCATTTTTGGGTGAACTATCGCTTTAATTACTAGCTACTAATTACATCTTCAACAGTGGAATCAGATTACTGTACTAATTACTCTAAAAAGTATTACATTACTTATTACTACTAATACATAGGCATAAAACTGCTATTTTAATTCTTTCAAATTAATAACTTTGCAGGAAGGTATATCTCCAGGGAGAGGATTGGGCACCTCTGCATTAAAACCATACATTACATGTTAAATGTTGATGTTAAATCCACTATTTTTTTATATAGAATTGTTCTATAGTCCATACAGTATATAATGCAATTACATCAGAAGTAACTGTAATTAATTAAAGTAATCCCGTACTTTACTTTTTCAAGGGAAATGGAATTATATATATTGCAGTAATTACTTACTTAGTAATGCATTACACCCAACACTGAATACAATACACATCAAGAAGGACGTTTGTGGTTGCTATTACTTCCGGTTCATTTGTCACACTTTCAATGGAAGGTCTAATCAAGTGCACTGCATTGTGGGATACAGTATCCCCCACAGTGTGCTCTGTTTGCATATTGGACATTTTGGCAAATGCAGTAGGTCATCTGCATGTGTACTTGATGGACAAAAGTTTGGGGTCAGCAAGAGATTTTTTTTTTTGTTCAAGGATTCATTAAACTGATCAAAAGTGTGAGTAAAAAAGTCGGTGAGAATCTACAGGGCCAGCAGGATTCATTCACTGCTCTTATCTATGCAGGCAGAGACCGTGAACGAGGAACAAAAGCAGAGGAGAGTCCATAAAGACCTCCACTGGGGTCAGTTTGCTTCAGGAATCAGGCCAGCTGGACACTCACACTGGAAATGATGGACGTTTCCGAGGAAAACAGACCATAAAGACCCAATGTCCCGAGTTTACTGTGAATAACTTCAGAGGCAGCGACTGATTCGGCAGCCACAACACACACTGTTATCATCCTGAATCTGTTATTCTAACAAAAACCTACCACAGAGTTTGCCAAAAGACCACAGTTACTATAGTTACTGTTACTACAGAAGAACCATAACTAGATCTAAAGAAAATATGATGCATACGCTTGCAAAACTTCTCCATCGATGCTACAATGATGTGGTCGCTAGGGTTTTCTGGGAGGTTGCTATGTAGTTGTTGTTTCTTTCGCTCCTCCTCCTAAGAATCGACACTCACGTTGGTTGCCAAATTGAGAATGCGCAATAGGAACAAGTGCAATTGACAATGAAAGGCGAAGAGACTTACACTGTAAGTTAATGAATTGATTTAACAGCATTTAAATATTCCTTTGGTCATAGAGCTTTCTAGATGGATGCCGGGGGGTTTTAGGTATGGTAGAACCCAGTTCTGACTCAGGGGCCGTTTACACGACAACGTTTTCAGCCAAAAACGGGACACTTATTATGCATTTTGCCTGTTCGTTTACACGACAATGGCGTTTTGGGGACTGAAAATGCATATTTTTGAAAACGGGTTTCAAAGTGCACGTTTTTGAAAACGCCATCGTTGTCGTTTCCGTGTAAACACCAAAAAACGGGAATCTTTGAAAACGGTGACGTCATGCACGTGCGTAGTACGTGTTAGGTATGTAGACATGCGCAGTACGTGTCGATTTTAAAGGCAAGTACATGGTACTGTTGTTGCTGTTTAAGAGTTTGCTAACGCTTCTTCAGCAAAGTGTGGATTTACTTCACCAATATTACAACC